AGTGGATGTGATGTGATGCCACTATAATTTGCCTGCATCCATTTGCATTGCTTTCTGATACAATGTCAATGAAATGCATGGATATCAAATCAACATGCATCATTTAGAACGATTTGATGCCAATACATTGCTATTTATCACATTACAAAGCATTGTTTCACTGTTGACAGAAATGATGAAAAACCTCTATGCAATTTCAGCAGGAAGGGGTTTGGTTTTTTTCTGTCAAGGGGATGTACAGTGCCTGGCCTTCACTGTGGGGTGGGAGACCTCCAAAGATGGACAAAAACAATTCCTGTAAGCTGAGCAAAAAACCTTGAGTCAAGATTTCTGAAGTCAAAGATCAGATCTTGCAGGCAATCTTGACATACCTGTTGCCAGCTGGGCAAGCTTACCAACTGGGAACGTAAGATTGTGTTGCCGTCAAGAAACATTTTTAATTGAATTCACAAGCAGTTTTAAATCTGTTTCATCAAGGCCCATCAACACTGTGCTCCTGATGTTGGAAGACTTGAAACAGTGCACCAAAACTGTAGTGTTAGTGCACTGCTAGTCCCACCATGTTGTGTTACGCTGCACTACAGCACTATTAGTGGCAAATACAGCTCAGGATGAAACCAGGTCGGGTTCGGGTCAAAAAACAGTGCCCAGACCCAACCCGGCAAAAGTGGCGGGTCAGGTTGGGTTGGGTCATACAGTCAATATTGCTGCCCAAACCTGACCCACCTAGGGGAGCAGGCAGGTCAGGCTTGGAACAATTTTTTGGAGCATATTTACATGTCTAAGCAATAAAAATAGAAAAAGACTAATTTTTGTAACTTGTTTTGTATTTTATTTTTTTCAATAGAGTCGCTCGAGGGTTTGAACTTTGATTGGTCGTACAATTCTGCAATGATTGATCAAAGTGTCCTTCAGCCCTCATCGTGTAGGTGGCACAGTTGATGACCGATCAAACGTAGCACAGTTGCTGTTGATGACTAATCAAAGTCCGGACTCCAGTCACTCCCAGGATCCTCAAAGCTGCGTGGGTCAGCTTCAGATTCTGAAGGCTGAAGCGGACCCACAGACCGGACTGCCCTCAAGCGGGTCAGTAGTTGGGTTTTCGGGCCAACCCAAAATCATAAGACACTGCCCAAACCCAACCCGGTAATGAAGCAGGTTGCACGCGGGTTGGGTCACTTAGTTTTTTTTTACCTAAAGTCAACCCAAACCCGCCCCGAGACCCGACAGGTTGACCCGACCCACTTCCATCCTGAAATACAGCCAAAAAAAGGCTAAAATTCTCTGTAGCACAGCTTAGTGAGTCCTATTTTATGGCCTGTGTGTGTAGCAACACTGCCACAGATATGGTATCTGCTAGAGATGGGCGCTTTGGATCCGGATATCCGCGCGGATGCGGATATCCGGTCTCTTTTTCCGGGGAAAGCGGCATCCGCACCCCCTGGCGGATATCCCCCCGCCTCAGCGGGTATCCGAGCGGATATCCTCGGATACCCGCCCTCTAAATGGCCGGCGAGGCACATCTCGCGGCTGGAAAGGTTGC